ATTCCAATAAAATTTTAGTCATCTCCCCCACTGCAAAACCCAAATTGCAAGCTTGAAATCCAGAGTTTTTTCTGTTACAACACTAAACTCCACGAACTTTGAAATTGATTGTTCTAGAAGCTTCCTCAAACCAAACGAGGAAGTTTCCCATGAAAGCCCCATCACTTTGAGCCCTCTAACCCACTCCTAGACCAAGCCCAAATCACCCCTTGATCAAAATCCCAGAGAGACTTTACACCAGCTCAAATTGACACTTGGAGGAGCTTCGTGAGGTCACAATGATCATTCTCAACCATTACAATCGAGGCTACACCTCTTAGATAAAGGTATAGACCATTTCTCCTAAATTTGAGCTCAGTTGGGGCTTTTATGAAGAAAACTTTAATTTTGTGCTTGGTCAACCGTATGGATGTGTTCATCACGATTATATGCACTTGCAAGAACAAACCGCAAGTGATTTGGTTGAGTATCGAGTGAGATCGAAGAGTTTTAGTGTGGACGGTTCTTGGTTTACATCGGATGGGGATGATGAACAGATGTCGTCCACTTTCATGTGAATCAAATGGACGGATCTAATAGAGCCAGACAGAGTCCTGTTACGCAAACCGCAGGCTGAGTCAACGCCGATGCTAAAGGCAGCATCGAATGGGAGCACGTCGCGTGGGCTTTCAGAGCTGCCAAGGAAGGACGTGGTGCCGACGTGGATAAATAGGAAATTAGGGCATTTTTTATTTAAATAAATTTAAAAATTTTAAAGAAATCATAACTTAGTGTAGAAAAATTATAAAAAAAAAATAAAAAATACTTTGATGCTCAGTGAATAGAACAAAATCATGTGAACTAAAAATCAAAATTATTTAACTTATATTTAATTTTAAATTAATTAAATACTCTAAAACTTATTTAAGTCATAAATATTTAAATATTAATGACCATAACTTGAAATTTAGAGGATTTATTCTTCATGTGATTAGGAGTGTTCTCTAATTTTCCAAAACCAGTGAACACCCTTAACCCTAAAGTCCTACTTTTTAAGACTAGTCACCAATTTTTAATTAAAATAATTATATACATTAAAATATAAATCCAAAAAATATGAGGTTTGTTTTAGTAGGTTCACCGTGATCAGAGGAGTCTAAGAAAGTAAAACCTAAGTTTAAAGTTTTTTAAAACATAATTTTCTAATTTAAGACATTAAAGCCCATAACAAATTAAGAAAATAAATGGGATTTTTTCATATCCGAATTTATTTTTCTAGGTAAATGGGATTTTTTCACTAAAATAATTATAATAAATAAAATATAATTAAAAAAAATTATGAAAAGTGGTTTGGAGTGATCCTTCTGACTAGAGGCACTCATGAAAAAAAAAATGGTGTTAAAACAAATAGTTTGTTTTGAGCTGATTTTAAATTTAAAAACAATTAAAAATAGTTAAAAATCATAAAATACAAAAATGCACCAAAATGTCACAAATTGTTTCTTATTCACTTGGGACCACTTAAAACATTTTTTCTAATTTTCTTAATAAAATTATGTATTTTTAAATGTCTAAAATATATTTTCCTTGAGTTTTAAATAAAATATTTACAATAAATAAAATAAAAAACATAAAAATGAAAAATTTAATTCCCCTAGTTCTTCGAACTCAAAGGGACTAAAGAAAAATATAAAAAATAAATTTTGAAATTAAATAATATTTTTTTATTTAATTAATCATTAAAATCAATAAATAATTATGATAATTAAAATATAGCTAAAAAACTATGAAATTTGGTCGAAGTGATCTTTTGACCAAGGGTGAACTTTCAATAATTTTATTTAAGACAAATAATTTGTTTTGGTTGATTAAATAAATTAATATTGAAAATCCATATTTTTGAGTAAAAATAATTATTAAAAATTAAATAGAAATGAGTAAATCATAATTTCACCTCTGATATTTTAATTGACCCGTGAGTGGGGTACCAAGCAAATTTCAAACTCATTTGAGTTGATTTTAATGATTTATAAAGTGGAAAGCCTTAGGGGCAAAATGGTAATTATGGGATTTTGATGGCCTAGTTAAAATTTAAGTTAAGTCAAAGGGTAAATGGGAAATATTGATCATGATGAACTTCCTTAGATGTTTGAAACAAGAAGGGTTGAAAGGTAGAAACCAACTCATCACTTTTTTACAATAAGGGTGAAATTGTAATTTTTCTAAATTATTGTGACTTGGAAGTTAATCTAACCAGATGATTCTAAGGTAATGGGCTTGAGCTAGGAAGATGATAAATTACACATTTTAAGCCCCTAATTGGTGCTTAGATGATAAGCATGATCTTTTAATAAGATTTAAATCCATCTAACTCGATATTTTGATTATTGTAAATCTACCCTGAAAGCTTAACTTAAGGGCTTAGTAGTGAGCTGGGCTTGATTTGAATTTGCTTAATGAGGCTTAGAAAAGGAAAATTAATCAATCATGAATACCTTTAAAGCACTACAAGCCTAACTTTAATCATGATTCCAAGATCCTTGATGATTTAAGCTTGCCCTTAAAGGCATCCGCTTACATAACAATTAAATAAAATATCAAGTTAATGTTTAAGTGCCCCGCTCATGGAATAATTAAAACATCAAGGTTCATTGGGCATAGGATAAATTAATTATCACTGAATCTAAATTTAACATTGGATGATTAATTGAACAACATAATAAGTTCAATTGAACTCAAAATGGTTCAAAGGGTTTTAAAAGTTGTTTAGGGTCATGCTTCGAACACTTTTATGATCTTTTGGATATTTTGAAGGAAAAATGAATTTATTATGTTTTATTCAAGAAATTCATTCTTAAAACTTTTAGGGACCAACCAAGTTATGCCTCGGGACCCAAAAATTCTCATAATATAATAAAATTTTCCTACACTACTTATCCTACATTAATTGACCCAATGCTCAAGGATTTGAGTCTTCTTTATGGTATTTAAATCCTTACGGGCAACTTGGAATATTTGTTTTTGCCACATATGGATAATTGGGCTTGTGTAAGTATGAGATCTAGGTGGCTAGGGTGATGACGATAATGCTAAAGTGTGCTAAGAGAGAGATAAAAATTGGGATTTAGAATAGTATCTCCTACCTCAAGGACTCGCAGTAAGGGAGGATAGAATCAATGATACTATTTGATGACTCTTGATGAGATTGTTGCCCCCGATACTCTTAGGTTTCCTGTAGTCCTAGCTTGATCAAAGTAATTAACCTATGGGCTACACTACTTTGCAAAGTATTTACAAAAATGAAATTTCTTTTACCTAATAAAATAAATTCTACATGCATGAAAATTAAGTTAAAAATGAAAACTTATAAAGGCCCACGATTAATCACTTGAATCGAGGTTAGGATTATCCTCCGTAGATTATCGAGTTGGTAGCTCTTAGTCAAGGTTGGGAACCACACAATCCAACTCTGAGCCCCTACTTTTACCAATGTCTTACACTTAATTCTTATTATCCATATGTAACTATGGGTTTTCTTTTACTTGCTCATGTTTTACTATGACTCATTTTTTGAATTTTCTCATACTGGATGCTTCTATTTACTTTTTTTGTAATTTATTTAAATTTCTTGGAAATATATTATGCTTTATGATGATAACCATGTGCAGTAGCAGAGCGTCTGGTACACTCATTTAAATATTTACAGTAATTTAATTATATTATATATATATATATATATATACCATTGGCGACTGTGTCTGGATTTTCTCTGCTAGGGTTTGTCCCTGATGGCTCCTTCCCGGCGACGCAGTGGTGCAAGATAGTGGAACTTGGAGTTTTTGTTTTAGGGTGACATTCTTTCTTGGCTAAAAGTTTTGAGTTTTGTTTTTCTTGGGGCTTTCCCGGCCAGAAGCGGTTTAAATTTCGGCCTAAAGAGACCAAGCTTAGCAGGCAATGGATAAGTAGTCTAGAGACCCCTCCTCACTCAAGAGACTAAAATGTCTCATCAGAACTCATAAAATTTGGTGCTTTGCTCTTTTAGAGCCCATGGTCACAAAATATCCTTAAAAAATTGTAAGAAAATTTCCTAAGTTTACTCACTTTGCAAATTTGAATAATAAAATATGGATCTTTGTAAGATCTGAGTCAGAGTGGTCTGTGTTATTTAATCATTCCCAATTCATACATATCCAATTTTCTATTGGTGCTCAATTGGGGTATGCTACTTTTATCTATGCCAGTAGCTTAGCTAGTCAATAGCAGATCCTTTGGCAGGATTTACTGCATCTGGGTCAGTTTATTGATTCCTTCTGGATTTTAGGAGGAGACTTTAATTGTATTACTTTGCTGAAAAAAGAGGGGCTAATTCTCCTCTGCCTTATGGTATGGCTAGGTTCAATGATTTCATCCATGATGCTACACTTTTTGATCTAGGCTTTCAAGACCCTTAGTTTACTTGGAGGAAGGGCACCCTATGGGAGAAGTTGGATAAAATGCTGGGCAATTCTAAGTGGCTCCAAGCATTTCCTTATACTATTATCTCACATCTTGTTATCGTTAGGTTGACCAAAGACCTTTACTTTGTTCCATCCAGAACTCATCCAACCCTGGAGGTACCCCATTTAAACTTCAAAACATGTGGACTTTACATCCCGAGTTCCTTTAAGAAATTGACAAGGTCTAGATTTTTGAACCTAATGACAGCCCTTGGGTTAATATGTGCAATTGCAAAAGAAGGTAGCATTGCAACTTAGAAGGTGGAATTGGGAGAACTTTGGAAATGTTTAAGATAAGCTTAAAGCTGCTCAAGAGGAGGTTTTTAAGTTGGAAGATGGGTTTCAAATGGGACTAAACACTGAAGCTGAGGTATACTAAGAAAATGAGACACTCCTTTCCCAGATCAACTATACTGAAAGTTTTTCTTAAGCAAAAGGCAGAAGGCAGCTATCTCTAAGTTCACTGAGGGAGACAAAAATACAAGTTTTTACCATGCTTGCATTAATTTCAGAAGAAAATGCAACATGATTCTTTCTATCACTAATTCTACAGCTCAGAACCTCACTTCTGATGGGGATATTGCTCAAGATGTTGCTTGTTATTTCCAGAATTTGTTCACAAGCATGCAAACAGCTAGATTTACCATTGAGAATGTTCTCTTCTCTGATTGTCAGGAATATGTGCAAAGATTAAATATGACACATATACCTTTGGAAGATGAGATTAAAGCTGCTTTAGACTCCATTGATGGGCAGAAGTCTGTTGGGCCTAATGGATTTACCTCCACCTTCTATAAAGTTACTTGGTCTAAAACCAGTAAAGATGTCATTCAGGCTGTTCAAAATTTTTTCAATGGTGTTGATCCTCACAGGTATTTCACTTCTTCCACTATCACTTTGATACCAAAAAATCAAACTAGGCAAAGTTGGGGGGCCTTCAGACCGATCATCTTATCTATTGTTATCTCTAAACTGATTAGCAAGATCATAGTTTTTAGGCTTCAACCACATCTCCAAAATCTCATATGTGCTAATCATGTGGCTTTTGTTAAGGGGAGAAATATTACAGACAATATTTTGTTGGCTCAAGAGCTTTTGCTAGACATTGATAGGAAATGTAGAGGGATCAATGCCATTTTCAAACTTAATATAAAGAAGGCCTATGATACTATCAATTAAGAATTCATATTAGAAACTTTATCTACTAGGGGCTTCTCTGGGGATTTCATTAACTTAAATGGAAGATGGTTAAAATCAAATGCTCATTTTGTCCTGATCAATGGCAAAATTCATGGATTCTTCACCGCCTCTAGGGGAATTAAACAAGGAGGCCCTTTGTCTCCTACTATCTTTATTTTAACATTGGATTACATTTTAAGGTTATTAAATAAGATGTTTACCACTTGCCCTCAATTGGTTTATCAACATAGATCTAATATCAAAATAAGTCATCTTTCCTATGCTGATGATATCATAATTTATCTAATGCTTCCAAAAATGTTGTCAAGACTTTGTATCAAGGCCTTAATCACTTTCAGCAAGCCTCAGGTATGGAACTAAACCAGCAGAAATGTCAAGTTTTTGTTAGTGCTAACACAAAATCTCAGATCAGACATTGGATATCTAACTACACTGGATTCAATATTACTTCTCTTCCTATTAAGTATCTTGGAGTCCATTTAATCAAAGGCAGAACCAAGAAAACACAATTCAATAATGTGATTGATCAGAACAAAGCCCAGCTCAGTTGCTGGACTAACTATTTCTTATCAAATGGGTGAGAATTGTTCTATTGAAGAGCATTCTAACTGCCATGCCTGCTTATGTCCTTCAGATGTTTACTATGAAGAATGGTACAGAAGTGCTCTTGGGTAGGAGTTTTAACAAATTTCAGTGGGCTGAATAAAAGAAACAGTTCCACTGGCTATCTTGGCAGAAGGTTTGTAAAGCTCTCCAGGCAGGGGGTTTGAGCTTCAAGGATTTTCAACACTTAAGCTTTATTAATCTATGCAAGTTATGGATCAAATTTAGGGCTCAAGATAGTCTTTAGGATAAATATATGATGGGGAAGTACTGTAGGTTTGTGAATCCAACTCTTGTTACTAAAAAATTGAGGGATTCCAAAATCCAGTCCAATATGCTAACTATAACCAACTCTTGTTACTAAAAAATTGAGGGATTCCAAAATCCAGTCCAATATGCTAACTATAAAAAATCAAGCTGAGGATCTGTTCATTTGGGAGCTGGGTGAGGGCCAAATTAATTTTTGGTTGGATCATTGGTTGTGGAATGGGGAGAAGCTTGCTTACCACAATCAAGCTAAAGATTATTAATCTGAGGACCAGTGGAACTGCAGAATGCCGAATACAATTCTCACCAGGGATCAGGTTAATTTGGTTAAGGCGACTTCTTTCTCTACTAATCAGAGGATAAAATTATTACCAAACAAGCTCCTCACAGAAAATGTCTACATACATTTACCATAAGTTCTTCCATTGGAATCTTGTGACTTGGGGTAAAGTCATTTAGGGAAAGCTATGAACACCATCCATGTCCTTTTTCTGTTGGACAGTTTGGCTTTCTTCGCTCCCCACTGATGATATCATAAAAATGAAGGGACTAAGGGTTCCCTCCAGCTGCTATCTATGTAATGCTGAAGAAGAAACTTTAGAACATCTATTTTTTAGTTGTGGCTTCTCTCAAAGAGTCTGGTCAGGTCTACTTGAACAACTCAAGATTGATACTCTTACAGTGAGCTGGTTTAAATTTACCATATGTTGGGCAGACTTGAATGAAGCTAATCCATTGGTTCTTCTCTGTTTGGTTGCATGGTTCATATAGATGAGCAGAAATCAAGCTAAGTATGAGGACTACCTTCCTAGGGTTAGTTCTATGATTTTCAATTGCACTTTTTATATCCAGAAGCTTATTCAACACCATCAATTCCCTAACTTATTTAAGACTTGGATGCCTATCATAAAAAACCAGCAAAATTTCAAGCCTCATTTAATTTTTTGGAACCCCCTACTCCTGGTTGGTTGAAAGTGAATATAGATGGAAATTACTCCAGGGGTGCTGCAGGTGTTAGGGGAATCTTTAAAAACTCCCAGGGGAAATGCCTGTTATATTTTTCTTCTCCTAATTGGGCTGTTGATGCCTTGGAGGCAGAATTTATAGCCATTTGTCGGGCTATCAAATTTGCTTACCATTGTCAAATGGGCCAATTGATGGTTGAATTTGACTCCCTTATTTGTATTAGGATATTGCTGAATGATGAAGCTCCCCCTTATAATTTGCTCAGGTGGAAAACCAAAATGAAGTACCTTCTAAATAGCTTCAGGTTGAAGTTCAAATAAGTTCCTAGAGAGGGTAATAGTCCTACCCATTAGTTGGCTTCCTTGGGGAGGAACACTGAATAGATTTTTGTTGGGAAGTCTCCTTCTTCTCACCTATCTTTTCTACTTCATGGAGATAATTTGGCCTCTTAGTAATTTATTAAATGTGAAAGTATGTCTATGACGTGTCGTGTCCTATTATATATATATATATATATATATATATATATATATATTTGTGTGTGTGTGTGTTTGACTTACATATATATATACTTTTAACTTACCTTGTAACTGCCTTATTTGATTTAATGATATTGCTACTGGGTACTTCATTGTGAGTAGTTTTTAGTAGCCTTTTTGTTTATATATACTTTTAATTTTTCTTATTATACCTACCATGAAAGAAAAAAAAGTTTCATTCCTTTTGTATTGAGCAAAACTAAAGATCTATGATTGTAGAAACTATTGGAAAAGTATGCATTGCTTTTCTTGGAGGTTTAGGGCATGCCACCAAAATGACTTGCAGGGTATGATATCTAGTTGATCTCAAATGTGCCACTACCAAACCTTCCAAGGTATTAGAAGAGAGTGAAGTGATTATAAAATATGTTGCACAGTCAAAGAATGCGGTTATTTATGTGAAAACCCTTAAGTGGAATGAAACCGAACACTTAAAAATTGAGGCCCCTTTTGGTGTAACGGTGAAATTTTGCCACAAACTCCAAAGTTAAGTGTACTTACATGAGAGAGCTCCTAGGATGGGTGACCTACTGGGAAGTTATACCAATGAGGCAAAACTATGAGGCAATTAGGCCAAATCAGACAATATTTCGATGGGTGAGAGTTTGGGCTATTACAAATGGTATCAGAGCATTACATGGGAGCCACCTCTTAAGCCCAAGATGCGATAAAAATGCTACATGATGGAAGCCACCTCTAGAATCCTATATGCCTCGTGGATTAATCTAGGCTAAGAGCACAGATGAAGACAATATTTACTTAAGCAGGGAATATTGTAAAACCTCTTAAGTAGAATGAAGCCAAAATCTAAAATATCGATATGCCTTTTGGTGTAATGGTGTAATTTGACGGAACCATCAAAGTTAAGCATGCTTGCATGGGAGCACTCCTAGGATGGGTGACCTTTTTTGAAGTTACACCAATGGGGCAAAGTCATGAGGCCATTAGGCTAAAGTGGACAATATCTCAATGGGTGCGAGTTTGGGATTAATATATATAAATATATATATATATATATA